GATTCCACACTGTGATTCAATTGAACCAAACACCCTATTTGGAATTTGGTCAAAGGATTGGATATTCCAATTCCTTTGAATTCCATCCAATTCTTATGAACCAAACAGCCCCTTAGTGTATCCATCATCTTTCTTATTTACGAACAATTTATCTTCTATTTCTAATGTTGCAACACTTCCTACCCACGTCTTCACCTTCCAAAGTGTGAAATCATTTAATCCCAATACAACAAAACACTACTAAAAAAGGGTATCACCGATGGATTTTTCTGGCGGAAATTCCGTCGGAAATATTCCCGACGGATCCCAAAAAAGTCAAACAAAGTCAACATTTATCCATATCCGCCACAGATCCCCCACAAATCCCCCACAAAATTTTTTGGAAAAAAAAAATTAAAATTAGTTAAAACCGATTTGTGACAGATTTCTGACGGATTTCTTATTTATTCGAAAACGTCACAAATCCGTCGGAAATCCGTCGCAAAATTTGTCTAATTTATTTAAATAAATTAATTAGTGTTAATCCAAAACAATTTCCGACGGATTTCCAACGGAATTTAATTTTTAATAACAACAAATTAAATTCCATCGGAAATCCGTCGGAAATTGTTTTAGATTAACACTAATTAAAGATTAACACTAATTAAACCTTTATATATATATATATATACCTTTGTTAGAAAAAAATTTAAAAAACATTTTTAAAAATTTCCGACGGATTTCTGACGGAATTTAATTTTTATATCAAAAAATAAAGTCCGTCGGAAATCCGTCAGAAATATTAAACCTTTTTATAAAAATATATAAATATATATTGTTAAGAAAAGAATAAAAAACATTTTTAAACATTTCTGATGGATTTCCGACGGAATTTAGTTTTTTTTAAATAAAAATTAAATTCCGTCGGAAATCCGTCGGAAATGTTTAAAAACCTTTTCATAAAAATATATAAATATATATTGTTAGGAAAAGAATAAAAAAACACTTTTAAACATTTCCGACGGATTTCCGACGGAATTAGTTTTTTTAAATAAAAACTAAATTCCGTCGGAAATGTTTAAAAACCTTTATATTTATATATATATATATATCTTTGTTATGACTAAATAAAAAAACATTTTTAAACATTTCCGACGGAATTTAGTTTTTATTTATAAAAACTAAATTCCGTCGGAAATCCGTCGGAAATGTTTAAAAACCTTTTAACAATAAATATATATTGTTGGGAAAAGAATAAAAAAAAACGTTTTTAAACATTTCCGACGGATTTTCATTTGAATTTAGTTTTTTTTTAAAATAAAAACTAAATTCTGTCGGAAATCCGTCGGAAATATTTAAAAACCTTTTTATAAAAATATATAAATATACACTGTTAGGAAAAGAATAAAAAAAAACATTTTTAAACATTTCCGACGGATTTCCGACGGAATTTAGTTTTTTTAAATAAAAATTAAATTCTGTCGGAAATGTTTAATAACCTTTTATTATAAAAATATATAAATATATATTGTTAGGAAAAGAGTAAAAAAAACATTTTTAAACATTTCCGACGGATTTCCGACGGAATTTAATTTTTTTAAATAAAAACTAAATTCCATCGGAAATCCGTCGGAAATGTTTAAAAACCTTTATATTTATATATATATATATATATATCTTTGTTATGAATAAATAAAAAAATATTTTTAAACATTTCCGACGGATTTCTGACGGAATTTAGTTTTTTTAAATAAAAACTAAATTCCGTCGGAAATTTTTGTATATATTCATATGTATCTTGTTAGGAAAAAAATAAAAAACACATTTTTTAAAATTTTTTGACGGATTTCCGACGAAATTTAATTTTTATTTAAAAAAATTATATTTCGTCGGAAATCCGTCGGTATCTTTGTTAGGAAAAAAAATAAAAAACATTTTTTTTTGAAATTTCCGAAGAATTTCCGACGGAATTCATTTTTTTAAATAAAAATTAAATTATTATATTTAATTATTATATTAATTTTAATTTTTTCCAAGTTCAAGTTATTATACAACTTTTTATTAAATATTACCAACGGAGTAGTCGTATGTTCAGTTACATTTATTGGATTTATCGGCTTTATTCGGTTCAATTGGACTTTTATATGTATTATTGGGTTTTGGTGGAATTTAATGGATCTTAGTGGATTTTTTTTGGTTCAAATAGGCTTTAATGGAGCTATTAGATTTTATTCGGTTCAATTTGGCATTAACGGGTACTAATTGGTTCTTTATTTGGTTCAATTGGACATTAAAGATACTGTTGGGCCTTATTCGGTTCAACTGGACATTAACGGATATTGTTGGGCCTTATTCGGTTCAACTGGACATTAACGGATACTGTTGGGCT